GCCCTAAAATTTTTCGAAAAAAATTTTTTCGCGAATTTGAACGATCTGAGAATACAGTTTTACTCAGAATTCGACGCTGATTCCGAATATGTATGACTCATTGCGTAATGTTTTGGACACGAAACCTTACATTCTGCCACTTGTCCTTTATCTTTAGTTAAATTTATAAATTTTCCTACAACAAATATATTCTTGTTCAGCATTATCATCAATGATACAACAATAACAGAATTTGATATCAAATGAAAATAACAAAGCTACATTTATTTTCAAAAAATATCTAAATATTATATTTAGATTTGATTTATTACAGGAGGAGAACATTGTTTCTATAATCTTCAACTTAATTAATCTACTCTACTTTTTTCTTTATAATCTCAATTAATATAATATATATATTTTATTTTATTCTTATTCTTCAATACAATATCATTATTTCGTAACAGTGTTTAGTTAGTTTTAAGGCAAATCTTGAGATAAAAATAATCATATTGATTATTATTATTAAAGAAAAAGATTAGATCAATAATCAAATCAAATATTTATTTGTAAGATCGTTTGAATTTTCTCATTAAACAAAGCCTCGAGTAGTTCTAAACACTCTTTTTTAATGTTATCTTCTTTATTTTTCATTGAGAAATTGGTAAGATGGTGTTGTGTCGGATTTATTCACCATCATCGTCGTCGTGCCAAGGGAAGGAATCGAACCTTCTGATCTCTGACTAATAGTGAGATGCATAGAACCACTATGCCATCCTCGGCCATTCATAGATGATTGTTGTGGAAATGAAGAACGATTAAAAACTATACTACTTATGATGTCTACACCATCCCACTATCGTGATTTCCCTTTTCCTGCCATTAGAAATACATGTACCGATTCAACTGCACTAAATAAATTGAATAAAATAAACGAGAAATGAAATATTCTTTTCTTCTGTTAAATGAATTCTTATTGCAGTGATTAGAGTATAATAGAATAAATAAAAAACACAATTTAATCCATTCTTAAGTATATTGAAAATGAAAATAGATTTTATTTCGTAATGTTGAACATTGTGGAACTAATTCCATTCCTGTAATCAATTTTGTTCGATTCCGAAAACTCGATCACAATTGAATAGAATAGGTTCAATCGATAGGAATTCGTGAAATTCCAAAAGTTGACGAAACTCGAAAAATATCGATTGAACTCCTTATCTTGAATTATGTTCGAATTCCAGGAATTGATTTCGGGCTGGAAGAGAATGATTGCTCTATTCAAAATGATTTGTGATCTATAAACAAAATGTCATGATAGTTGTTTTTAATTTCGATCTTATTCTTTTATGTATAAAATATAAAAATCGAATGTCAAACATAATGGTTGACAGAGAAAGTATTGATAAAAATAGATTTTATTCTTTTTATAGAATAATTTAAATAATAACGTAAATGAATAATTTCATTGAATTTCGATTAGAAGATTTATCTATTGAAATTTTGATGAACATCTTTCAAATGTATTTCTCGCTTGACGAATTTTATTGAGTATCTTCTCATTTAAATATTTATCTTAATTTAATTGCTAAATTCTTCTTCGATTCATATAATACTGTATAAATTCATTTAAATTGTTGAATAAATTCATCCCTATTAACATATAAACTCTTCGAAAAGCAACAGTTACTTTCAATTGATTTGTGACCTTGTTTTTGTGTCATTATCTATTTGACTAATTTGTCGATTAACTGAGTGTTTAGTCTATAGTTAAAATTTCTCGTCATTCGATCATTTATTATTTTCAATGTAAAATAATTCTAAGAAAAAAGAAAAACGTTCATATGTCTATTTTACTGATTTTAACATAATATTTTCAAATTGATTTTAATCAAATAAATCTAATTATTATTTATTCAATAAAAATATTTTGATAAAATTGAGAAAAATAAATTGAATATTGAAAATGAAATAATTTCTTTAAATTATTTATTATGTTGATATATTGTTTAGATCAATGAGAATAATATTTGACTTTTTAATATTTACCTATTATTATTTATTGTGTATTTATCCAAACGTCAATTTATGTATTTTTATTTGTTTAATAAATACTTGTTCTTCTTCTCTTTTTACTCTTGTATCCATTTTCAATTTTTTTCTTTATTATTAAGAATTTTTTATTTTCATGATAAATCATTGAAATTTGTTTATAATAGATTCAATTTTCAATCAGTTACGTTGAAATAATACATTTATTTTTTAATAATCTAATTGAGATAAACAACAACAAAGGAAATATAATATTTTCTAGGCTAAATTATAATTCAATGAGAACTAAGACTAGAGAAAAACGTGTTCTGTTCAAAATCTAATTAGGTTATGTTTGCCATGTTTAATTGTCGAAAAAAACGAAAAGAATGAAAAAATTACGTTTCAATTGGTTTGTTAATATGGTCAATTTGAAAATACATATTCATTTGAATTTTATATTGATTCAAAAATGGATTTTTCAAAAGAATTAAAATAAATTGTTAGGATTTATAGAATATTACATTGATTGAATCATGTAAACTTAATATACGCGTATTAATAACAAATAGCACCTGTGTTAGTAAAGGTAAGTATGATTTTCAAAAAATTATCTAAATATTATATTTAGATTTGATTTATTACAGGAGGAGAACATCATTTCTATAATCTTCATTTTAATTAGTGCACTCTATTATTTTTTTTTATAATCTCAATTAATATAATATATATATATTATTTTATTTTAATTCACCCTCTTCAATACAATATCATTATTTCGCAACAATATTTAGTTAGTTTTAAGGCAAATCTTGAGATAAAAATAATCATATTGATTATTATTATTAAAGAAAAAGATGAATAATCAAATCAAATATTTATTTGTAAGATCGTTTCAATTTTCTCATTAAACAAAGCCTCGAGTAGTTCTAAACACTCCTTTTTTTATGTTATCTTCTTTATTTTTCATTTAGTAATTGGGAAGACGCTGTTGTGTCGGATTTATTCTTTTCCTTTTTGTCAATGATATCCCTTGAAGGTATTGTGCAATGTATTCTTCTTCTTAGCTATAAATACAAAATCAATATCATTTTATATTAATAGAAACGTCGTGTGTTAATGATGGATCAAATTCTGGTTGCCTTGTTTTGTATGATTTTGGTCGTTGGTGCGAATGGAGCTTCGGTTGCGTTGTCAACATCAATCGATGAAGATGCTATTCAAGTAACTTTATTGATGAGACAACATTGGTCATTAAGACCTGCTATAATTCGAAATTCTCGACCATTTGCAATATGTAAATTCATAGATGATTGTTGTGGAAATGAAGAACGATTAAAAGCTATACCACTTATGATTTCATCATTACGTCGCCATCATAATCCAACTTTTCCTGATGTTATAAATACATGTACAGATTCAACTGTACTGGATAAAACAGATCAATCTTGTCCAGCATTAGAACAGTTCAATTCATTACCATTGGGTTATGCAATAAATGATCCAGCTTTACACCGATATGAGAAATTAATAATGAACTATGGTGAAAAAATTCTTCCAATTGAGCAGCTACTGGAACGTATGAAAAATTCTTGTAATGATTATGAAATTCATGCTTTTCTATGTTCATCAGATAAGAAATTAATAGAATCATGTATTGGGAAAGCTCTTCAAGAATTACATGATGATAAAGGTTATGAAGATTATTATGAATTCATCATTAAAACTAAACAAATTCTTAGTGATCTTAATAAAGAATTGATTAAAACTTCTGTTGATGATACAAATACAGATTAACATACTCATTTAATTATCCTTTTTCTTTGATATTGTTTTATTATTTAATCTTGAATAATAAAATAAAGTTTATCTCAAAAAGTAATTGACTATTTTATCTTAATTGTTTATTAATGATTATTGTTTTATTTAAAATAATTGTTAATTTTAGTAAGAAATATTTATCTTTTTCTATAATATGTATTTTATGTTTGATATTTATATGAGAATTATTATAAGAATTGTCAGTTCTAATGAGAAAAGATTTTGTCATTTTTTAAAAAAAACTATTTATATTGATGACATTTTTGTCTGTTTGAATAAAATAAACGAGAAATGAAATATTCAAGGAGATAAGTGCTGGCATCCAGCATCCTGGCACCTCAGCACCTCGGCAGGTACTCAGAACCTCAGCACTTTCTCAGCACCTTTGGTACTGAAGAGGCTGAGGAGCTCATACTATAGTTCAAAGGTGAAAAAACAAAAGTTGAGGTGCTGACGTTTAGTCTTTGAATTATGTATGAGCACCTCATAGGGATGTACTAGTTTCAGTTCAGTAGCAGAGGTCTGGATTTTCATTGACTATTATTTAGAGTTATCCTTAGGTCTTCACGCGCTACTATTTAGAGGTATTCTTAGGCCCTTATGTACTATTATTTGCAGACAACCTTTGGTCCTCATGAGCTATTATTTGGAGGTACCCTTAAGTCCTCATGTGCTATTATTTTGAGATATCCTTGGATCCTCATATGCTATTATTTAGAGGTATATGCGTCCTCATACGCCGTTGTACGACTGTATGCTGCGGCTCTTACGTCTTTGAAAACCTCTCCACACAATAAATTTAAGTCCACCGTGTAATAGGAGCCCATACAGAACAGAAATCCAGTCCCAAGATTATCGCTCCGGCTCGCGCTCTGTCGATCTATATGGTTTTTCAGAAAGATTCAAGCAGTCCGAAGGTTCATTTTCATCGAAACATTGTAAAAACGCGACCATTTTGGGAGCATCGTAGAGTCAATTTCGACCGTTCTCATACTTGATCTTAATATAATTTCAACTTTAGAGCAAAATGAATGTCATATTTGGAATCAGCGCAAAAAACTACGTCATATAATATGCATTTTAGCAAAAATAATTTTCTACGAAAAAATGACTGTGGTCCCCCTCGGCGATTTTTTGATCAAGTTTTGGCTGTGGTCCCCCTGAGGTATATTTTTCGTAGAATATTGCTTCATATTGCTCTTTCAATCTTTTCAACAATTTCTCAGAGGTTGGGTATACTTTTTCTTGAATTAATTTATGAAATTCAACTCTAATTAAATCTTTTCCTTGTTCCGAAAGAATAATCTTCCGATGTCCAGAATGTCCTAAAAGAAGAATCGACTTTTAGACTGTTTGAATAATGGAATAAATCTTTTACTTTTCTTCTGAGGAGGCAATGCCTTAGGAATAGAAGATCGATTTTACTTGACGAAGAAAAAGCCGAGGCAGTATGTCGACGACAAAAAATTTTCGCTGATGGATTCGATCCTGAAGATTCACGATGTTTGGATATTGACAATGAGATGGTGCGACTACGAAGGACTCTAACATTTCCTTCTGTTTCACCTTGTTCTTTCATTTCTTGCTGTTGTTGTTGATTAGTTTCTTGCCGTTGTTTTTCATTTGTTTCTTTCTCTCTTAACTGGTTTCCTGCTTTAATCTACGAACAGATTTTTCAGAAATATCCAACATTTTGACAAGACGATCGGTCATATTGTAGAGAGGAATTACTGGACCATTTTTTTCACTTTCCACAAAATTAATAATATGAAACATTAATTGTTTTACCTCCTGAGAAAATTGATAACCTTTCGGCATTATGAATAAAGAATTTATCTAAAACAGAATAATATATATTTCTAAAAGAAATAACTAAAACAATTTTCACACATATATATATCTTTTTTCTTCATTCTCGTGTGGCATAACATGTCCATATCGGGAGTGAGATATCACAGTTGGAGCCGTAAATTTTAAAGAAAATAAGGCCTATCATGTTGATTAGCATAATCGAAAACCTATATTCGAAGTATTTTTTTGCTTTTCAGCGAAAGATGTACTACATGAAGTTTCTCTCTTAAACGACCTCGGCTCTTTTAAGGGAGCAAAATCTAGAAATTGCTTAGATACCAACGTGAAGAGGGCATGCCGGGGTGCAAACTTAACGAAAAAAATTCACTCGAAAAATTTCACCAATTTGTCCTTAATTTCGTGGACTAAATCTGGTCTGCAAAAGTACCTGGGAAGACCACTTTCCCATGTTGACATCTGCCCCAGACTGTCGTCGATTGAACCTTGAAAACCGCAGGTCGCTATGACTTTCCATTCAAAAGTTATAAGCTTTTCTTCCACCGATCTTCTTTAAAAATTCCGATAGTAGTATCAATATTTCGAAATTCTTCAGCTAAAAAAAGTTCAAGTTCATCAATATTTACAGGTTTTCTTTGTTCTACATTGCTTTTCACTATCACCCATATATTCTCGATTGGATTTATATCCGGACTATTAGATGGCCACTCTAATAATTCTGCTACATGTTCGTCGATCAATTGTGTACAAATATGACTCCGAGTCCTCAAAGAATAATTTCTGTCGTTGCTTGTAATAGTAGAGAAAACGTTTAAAACAAAGAACCACCTTTGTGCACTTTTCTTTTGCAAACAACTAATTAGTCAACATTTTTCAGGTGAAAAAGTCAAAAATGTTGAAATTTCGATTATAGGTTTTTCTCTTGTCCGAGAAAAAGAGATGTCTTGTTTTTCTTCTACAAGTGAACAGATCGAATATTAAATTCTACTGTCGTGTAGTATTCATCTTGGGCTATCCACCACACTATAAAAGAATTCGAAAAACACTTATATAGAAAATGATATCATATGATGTGTTTGGAGAGTATCCCCGGAAACTCGATTAAATACTAAGAATGCAAACGTAGCCGGTATAAGAGATATAAGAGGTACAGGACGGAAACATAGACAGAGGGCGTGTCACTCGATGAGGGTGCCACGGAAACACGAACACATGCAGAAACGTGGACGAGAGGCGGGTCTGTGGAGAGCTCATAGGTGTTACAGGGAGTGTATAGTTTATAGGGAGTATAGGGGTTATAAGTGGTATAGGCGGTATAGAATATATAAGAGATATAGGAGGTATAGGAGGCATAGAAGATATAGGAGGGTGTTTCCACGCAGGTCCGCCCATTTATACAAAAGTTTTGGCCGGGTGAATCTCACTATGCTCATTAGATAGAGCATGCCAAGTTACATATAAATCGATATTTTTTATTGACAAAAGTTAGGCC